GTCTCCGAGGTACTTCTGGACTCAAATCTACTCTGGTGCCTCGCTTGTCTTTTGTTTTACAGTATTCGTTGGCAGCTCTTCTGCCCAGGTATCCACTGGTTATGTGTAATGTTAACATCCCCAGTACAGCTCGCTGAATCAAAAAATTTGCTAAAATCTATAAACAGTTTGCTGCATGCCAGGGCTCACGTTTTCTTGGGGATGTGCATTTTTGCACAACGATCTTGCAGAAAGACTTTGGTCCCGTGATCTTGTGAAGGCGTCTGTCCCCCGACCCACCAATGCTCCCTCTAAGTTGTGGAGTCCTGTGAGCAAAAAAAATTCTACTTGGTGAGGGACTGGCATGAAAGTTGTAAGCGAGCGGTTTTGCTACCACATCAGTCAGTTTACGAAAATTTGTGAGCCGGAGGCTAAAAAACTGTGAGCTGGCTCACACTCACTCGGCTTAGAGGGAACATTGCCACCCACCCACTGTTGAATCCTAGTGAGCCCTGGTGTGTATCTGGAGTGAGGGGAAGAGTTGGAAGTAGAGGTCGCTCGGGCTGCTTCCCATGGCTGGAGTCTTCTTGGACCAGGCCCTGAGTTTTCTAGAGGGATGCGCCTATCTGGTGTTGATGGCTGGCCCCTGCCTTCCCTAGCTTGAGACTCACAGCTCAGGTGGGTGCGAGACAACCAAGGTCCCTCTGCCTCTTGCCAGAGAGAGAGAGAGCGAGCAAGAAGGCAGTCAGGGAAGGAAAGGGTGCTCAGGCCTCTGTCCACAGAAGAAGGATTGAATTTATTCCCCTTGCCCTTCACTACCCGAAGGAGTCTCAGAGCGGCTCACAATCTCCTCTCCCTTCCCCTCCCCACAACAGACAGACAACACCCTGTGAGGTAGGTGGGGCTGAGAGAGCTCTTTCGAGGACTGCCCTTGAGAGAACAGCTCTGAGAGAACTTGTGACTGACCCAAGGTCACACCAGCAGCTGCACATGGAGGCGTGGGGAATCAAACCCGGTTCTCCCAGATTAGGGTCCGTGCTCCTAACCACTGCACCAAACTGTCACTGGAGACCCCTGATTTAAACTGGCTCTCCTACACCAAACTGGAGAGGAGGAGGAGGAGGAGATTGGATTTATACCCCGTCCTTCACTCAGAGTCTCAGAGCGGTTTACAAACTCCTTTCCCTTCCCCTCCCCACAACAGACACCCTGTGAGGTAGGTGGGGCTGAGAGAGCTCTGACAGAAACTGCTCTTTTCAAGGACAGCTCTTGTCAGAACTACAGCTTGCCCAAGGTCATCCAGCAGCTGCAAGTGGAGGAGTGGGGAATCAAACCCGGTTCTCCCAGATTAGAGTCCGCGCACTTAACCACTCCTCCCCATGAAGTTACAGTTCTTCTCTCAGAGCTCTCTCAGCCCCACCTACCTTACAGGGTATCTATTGTGGGGAAGGGAAGGGAAGGGAAGGAGACTGTGAGCCCCTCTGAGACTCCGAGTGAAGGGTGGGGTATAAATCCAATCTCTTCTTCTTCTTCTTCTTCTTCAATATGTATATGCCTCTGTCACCACCACATCCTTCAGACTCGCAACCTTTCCTGCCTTTCAGAACATTCCCGAGATTCCAGAGGACCTGAAGCAGCTCTACAAGACCGTCTGGGAGATCTCCCAGAAGACCGTGCTCAAGATGGCCGCGGACCGAGGGGCTTTCATCGACCAGAGCCAGTCCCTGAACATCCACATCGCAGAGCCCAACTACGGCAAACTGACCAGCATGCACTTCTATGGGTGGAAGCAGGTATGCTGCTGGGGGGGGGGGGGGGGGGGGGAGAGAGACTTTTGTTCTTTGTCACAACGTTTTCTGCTGAGCTTGGAGGTCGTCTGGGACAGCTGCCGCCTTCTCTCCCCGTGGTCCTTATAGCCGTGGAGCCTCTGCTGTGCAAAATCCCCCCCCCCCTTTCCAGAGGACAAGTCTTTGCAAGAGGCACAGGGGCTACCTACCGGAGCATGGCGTCTCAAGAAGAATCCTGCTGTTCTGCTTTGCACACTAGAGGTGACCCTGTTCTATGGTCCACCAAGAAGAAGAAGAAGAGATTGGATTTATACCCCATGGCCCTTCACTACCCAAATCTGCTGAGCTTGGAGGTCGTCAGTAACAGCTGCCGCCTTCTCTCCCTGTAGTCCTCATAGCCATGGAGCCTCTGCTGTGCAAAATCTCTGCCCCCCCTTTCCAGAGGACAAGTCTTTGTAAGGGGCACAGGGGCTACGTTCTGGATTGTGGCGTCTCAAGAAGAATCCTGCTGTTCTGCTTTGCACACTAGAGGTGACCCTGTTCTATGGTCCATCAAGAAGAAGAAGAGATTGCCCATGGCCCTTCACTCCCCAAAGGTGTCTCAGAGCGACTGACAAACTCCCTTCCCTCCCACTCCCCACAACAGACACCCCCTGGGAGGCAGGTGGGGCTGAGAGAGCTCTTGACAGAAACAGCTCTTTTTCAAGAACAGCTCTTATCAGAACTATGACTTGCCCAAGGTCATCCAGCCAGGTGCAAATGGGGGAATCAAACAAAAATGGAGGCTATTTTGCATGACAGGGGCATCGTCCAAAAACCTGATGCGTTGTGAGAGCAAAAGAGCAGGGAGGGTAGCGCTTGAGCCCCGGCTTCTGACACGGGAGAAAAAATCCCTGATCCACAGCAGCAGGTGCTCAGGGCCAGAGCTCAGTGGCCTTTTTGCGGCTAGATTTGTGCCACATCCTTCCGGTTCATAGAACTGGGCTGCTTGTGCCACGTGTGTGGAAGGAACCCAGGCTCGCCCGCTCCCTTCGCCCTGGCAAATCCTCACTCTTTAGCAAATCACCTTTGCCTCACCTGGCCTGCCATACCCGTGACCCTTGTCGCTCCGGGCCTGGCCTTGGCTCCTGCTCCTGCCCGGTCAGTTCTGGTGGGTGAGCTGTCTCACTTGCCCCTTCCCCAGAGTTCTGTTTCCGAGGGTGGTCTGCGGCAGTGTTCCCTCTAAGCTGA